GAATAACAGACAACACGCATGCACAGACCATGATTCGCACGAAGCAATATAACAGCCGTAACACAGTAGAACCGTAATGAAATGATATCATACTAACGGTATAGCATAATCACACGTTAGCAGGGCTTCTGTTCGCGCGCGTATGCACGAGTCTCGCTCGCCCATTATTCGTTGCATGAAACGGCTCGCAGCCCTCAGGCTGAGATGGATAAGATAAGAAGCCTTATTACCTATTATGGCTATCCCAAGTGTTGTTGAGTCAACCAATGCGGGTGTTACTACTAACATGGTGGAGAACCCGCTGGCTGAGCTCCTTGAAGTCCTCGGTATTGCTGAACCCTCACTACTACTATGGTTATCTGCCGCAGAGTTAGAGACTGCTATGGAAGGCCAACCTCTTAGTAAGAAGGTCTATCTACGACGTACCCTCTCCACCTATATAGACGCCGAAGGCCCTAACTCTCAAGCTGCAAGTCTCTCTCGAAGGCCAGCAAACACAGTACATCCACAGCAGGTTACATCTTCTGCTCCCACTGTGCAGGTCTGCCCTCAAGGAGTGCCCCAGACCTCTCTCATGCAAGGTCAACAACACCCTTGTAACAACGACATCACCAACGTGGCGTACTGGTGCGATCTATCTTACAACTATGACAAGGAGAAGGCGCTTGATACAACAAAGGCCATCAATGCTGTTTCCCATATCAAGTGCCCCGACAAGGAACAATACAAGGGGAACTCTGATAACAGGAGTATCAACTACTTCTTGAGTCTTGTCCGCTGTGAAGCGAAGCAAACAGCGCTGGGCCCTCGATTATCGTACATCTATCTATCCAGCTGTCTTAGCCAGTCGGTCAAGAGGAACTTACAGATCCACTTGGAAACTACCCAGAGAAAGAAATGTGCCATTGTAGCCATTAAACCCTTCATACTTCGGGTTGGTAAATACCTCGGAAGAAAGCAGCACTAGGGCCATAACCAGCATCCCATGAGGGATGCGTTCATACTCTCGCAAGACAGAGAGAACCGGTCTAGTACCTTTGAAACCTCTGAATATTCTTCCAGGTGGCAATGTTGCCTTCTCAGCTCTCGCTTCACCAAGTTATCATAGATCTTCTGCAATTCACTCGGAGACAACTCACTCAATGAGCCGTCAGCATCTTTAAAACCTTATGCATCCATAGCTTATCTCGTAAAGGTGCAGTAGATGACGACCCCGATGAAGCTTCTTCTGGTATAAAAATTTCGGGTCTATCAACAAGATCGGATTGAGCTCATCGGGAAGCTGTGAACACACT